GAAAAAAAATTGATTTCTCTGGGTATATATAATAGAGCTAATAAGGAAGAAAAATATAGATCTAAAGCTTACAAAAGTCAAAGTATACTCAAATGATCCTTATAATGAAGAAGCAGATACCTTAGTTAAAAAAGCTCTAAATTTCCATCTATTGAATAGAAAGATCTCATTTCACATAAAATTATTACTGAAATCAAGTGACAAGGGATAACTCTAAATGATTCAATTAGTCAGTTTATTAAGAACATTAATAATAAAACAATAGTCTATCAGTGGACTCAACAAAACAGAATAGAAAAAAAATGGAGTTAACAGATTTCAGAATACCAAGTTCATATATGGAACCTAATATGGGAAAGAGTTAAAGATAGGTACATGTGGAATACATCTTTTAAACAATCTCAATAAAAAAGCTTTTTAATTAAGCTGATCAATGATGAGCTACCTATATTAAATAAGTTGGCTATAAGAAGACTGAACCTATACAAATAAGTGAGATATATTATATATAGTCAACAAGATAAAACTATAGAATGCTTGCTAGAATATTTAGCCTATAAGAATCAATTAAAAGAGACATGGAATAAAGAAGTAGATAGAATCATTAGAAATTTTAAAAAACTATTAGGGGAAAGAAAAAGAGAGGCTGAAGAGAAAAATCCCAGGTTAATTATTGATAACTGAGAGCAGATAGAAGAGTTTTACAAGTGGATCTCTAAAGTAGTAGAACAGGTTTCTAAAACTAGTCAAGATATACTAAGTTTCTGTATTGGCCTTATAATAATAGATATTATCATACAAATGGCAGATCTAAAATATCAAGGTAAATGTATAGAAAGAATAGCAAGAAAATAAATAATAAAAATACAAAGAAAAGTCTGTAATCAAGTCTAAAAAAAAGTCTGGAACAAAAGATATGAAAAGGTAATTAAGTGGAAAAAAACATAAGGAATTGATAGAGAGATTAAGACAAAAAGACCTTTATGTCTTTCAAGTCAGAAAACTGTACTTCTAAAGAAAAAAAATCTATTACCTGAAGAAGGAAATCTTGAAGATAAAGGTTTCTGAGAAATTCTAACAAAAAGAGTAGAGTATAGAATGAAATGGTTGGGTTTTAAGCTCTGTTAGAACCTCGCAAGGTGATCTGCAGTAGTAACCTGTAGACAATAAAGTTAATAGTTGGAAGGGTCTTTATTTGAACTATTAATGAAATGATAAATCACTCCTAAAGTTGTACTTAGAGTTTTAATAATTCTTTAAAATAGAGACGAATGAGTTAGGTAGAAACTTAATTTTAATGATATATTCTCTAATGTAAAGTATATATATATTTAATAAAGCATACATATTTAGTCTGATAGAGGGTTTAAAAAAAAAAAAAAAAAACTATAGATATAGTTTAGAGTTCTAAAATATTATGACAAATATATAGAAAAAGAAGTTAGAAAATGGGTAATAAAAATATAAAAAAAAGTTTACAATTAAGTTCAAAAAAGAATTTAGAAAACAAGATGTGAAAAAATTACAAAATAGAAACAAACTTAGGAAACTAGTAAAAAAGATAAGATAAAAAGATCTAATTTTTACTTAATAAAGTTTAAATATTATTTTTAATAATTTAAAAAAAATTTTTTAAAGTTATTATTACTTTTTTATTTTATTTACAATTTTTTTTAATTAAAATTTTAATTTTTAATTATTAAAAAATTTTCATTTTTATTTTTAATAACAAAAAAGTTTTAAAGAAAGTAAAATCAATAATAAAGTATTTAAAAATTTTTTTATTTTTAAAATAAATTATTATAAAAATTTGTTATTGTAAAAAAATTTATTTTTTAAAACTATTTACTTTAATTTGATTCTAAATTTTTGAATAATATAATTTTTACTAAAAATAATTAATTAATATAAAATATATTGATTTTTAAAATATAAATAAATTTTTATTGATTATATATAGTATATATATTATTTTAATAATATTATTATTAATTAATGAAAAAAAGTTTTTGAAGAAATTTTTTTTTATTAAATAAGTTTTTAAAAAAAATAATATTAAGCAAAATAGATTGTAAACTTCTATTTCTTAATCAAATTTCTTAAACAATAAAAAATTTTATAAAATTAAGATTTCTAAGTTTAATTTCTATCAAATAATAGAATATAAATATAAAATTTTTAATAAATAAATTTATATATTAATTAAAAGATAAAATTTTTAAATATTTTAAAGAAATTTTATTATTTAAAAATAATTAAGTTTTTTAAATAGCTTGAAACTAAATAAAATCATATCTTAATTAAATCAAGAAAAAATTATTAAATTAATTAAGAATTTTTTAAAGAAACTTTAAATTATTATTATTATTTTTTATTAATATCTTTTTAATTTAATAATTTATAGTTTTTTGAAATAATCTATAATAATAAACTATTAACAAATAATTCTAATAGAGATCAACAATTAATCCATTAAAAAAATAAAATATTATTTCTTAAATCTGACTTAAAATATCATTTAGATTTTTTTTTGTTTAATTCAAACTAGTTTAGTGAAATTCTTATTTTTAAAGTTGTGTAATTCTTTAACTAATAATTAATGTATTGATGAATTAGTTATCATGTGAAAGTCAATATAATATTATAGACATTTATTTAATATCTCAATAAAGACACATGATTGCAGGTTAAAAAGGAATTATTTACTTTACTATATATGGCATATACAGTGTAAATATACAATAATTAATATATATAGTAATTTTTCTTGTTAGGAGAAACTGCATTCAGCATATCGATATTTTACAGTATCATTTATTCGATGCTGTTGACCTAAAATGGTTTTCACAATTGGTTTCTCGAAAATTTTTCGACTCGTGAAATCATTACTCTTTGATCCAGAATTCTTTTGGTACACCGCGGCTTGCTTACTATTGGGAGAAGCATTCTTAACTACATTTGTAATTAAATATGTGTCATGTAAGGTTAAAGAAAAATGATGGCAATTCAAAGAAAAAAAATGCAATTGGTCGTAATGAGTTCGAATTTAGACACGGAAATCGACTGGAAAGCTTATATGCAAGAGGTTTCGACGTTCCTGGATGGCGAAAGGGACTACACAAAGTTAGTCGGTGATACTGGCCCATGCGTGTGAGTTTTTAAAATGTTTAGAAATCATTTCAAAATTGAGAGATTATTTATGACTTTTTAATTCAGATACCCGGCTGGTTTTGTATACATCTACTCTACCTTCCATTATTTGACCTCCGGAGGAGTTGACATTCGAAAGGCGCAATATATATTTGCCATTGTATACCTGTGGACATTATACGTTGTATTCAGCATTTATCGTAAATCGAGACAGGTACTTTCAACAATCGCACCACCTGGTTTCTCCAATTATACTGACTTCACCTAGATACCACCATATGTTTTGATTTTCATATGTCTATCTAAAAGATTACACTCGATCTATGTCCTGAGGTTATTTAATGATACCATTGCCATGGCTCTTTTATATACGTGCATATGCACCATGATCGATAAACGATGGAAGTTGAGTTGCGTGCTTTACAGGTATCATAAATTTGATTTACGCGGGGTCGTTGCGAGGGGGCAGTCGGGCGTTAGACTAACAAGATATCTCGATCATTGGTCACCCATTAGTTTTGCATTGTCGATCAAAATGAACGTTCTTCTGTTCTTTCCCGCATTTGGTGTTCTTCTGTTCAAGTCGCTGGGAGTTTGGGGGACTTTCGCCCATCTGATATTAATTTTTCTCATACAAGTCAGTCAACAAATTGTATCTAATGTTTTGTTCATCCCTGCGTAATCTTCAAATTTTATAATATTACACGTCTTGTAATGTCATCTAGGTAATTTTTGCATATCCGTTTTTAGCAACATATCCACAATCTTATATAGGACGTGCTTTCGAATTTTCCCGCGTATTCATGTATAAATGGACGGTGAATTGGAAATTCATTGATGAGGAGACATTCGTGGGTGTCGGCTTTGCTAATGTTCTCTTACTCGGACATGGTTTAGTTTTGATGGCCTTCCTGTTTGGCCGCTGGTGTCGGTAGGTCATAAGAACGAGTTCAACTTCAAGCTCACGAACGTGCCTGTTGTAGTCTAACGGCAATACTTTTTGAATTGCAGTTTAGAAGGTGGTGTTCTTTCCTTGTTACTTCGCGGATTGGTTTGGAGTCGCGAAGAATTCGTTAGACAATCAAAGTTTGTCACGGCCGATCGTGAGTTGATCATTGTGAATAATACATCTATTAATTCGCGAGTTTTTATTGATGAACGCGGTTGAATATACCACGTCGATGAATAGATATAACGACTTTGATGTTGACGTGCAATTTCATTGGAGTTGTTTTCTCTCGGACGTTACATTATCAGTTTTACTCTTGGTACTTTCATGGCTTACCATTCCTGCTATGGCATTGCACAAAGATTCCGGTTCTCTTTAGGTAGGGTCGATCTGTCATTTAGTGGCGCATAAATCTTTGACATGAGTTAATTTGTTATTCTGTATATTGAAGGATTATGATTATAGCAATAATCGAGTATTGTTGGAATATTTATCCGTCCACCAGTGAGAGTTCTTTATTACTTCTTACCTGTCATCTAATTGTGTTGGCGGGTATGTGGATTGGCGATTCGGAGGGTCAACGGTTTGCACTTCGACGCTCGCAGATATGAAGCGAATATAAAATTTCTCGTTGCAGGTAAATTGACCTATTCATCTTCAGGCTGACTCCCAAGCAATAATTAATAAAGGATATCTTAAAAACTTGTTCAATGAATAATTATGTGTTGTCTACACATGTACCATGCAAAAAACGAAACCGTTGGTTGATTCGTAATCCGCTCGTCGTATATGCTAAATGCTACCAATAGGAAAAATCACATTCATGCATTGGTAATCATAAAAGTAGTAACACAAAAAATCCTAATACATATTTTCAATTATTCGCTCCGAGATTGTTACAATGGAAGGTGACAGCGAGGAAGATATTGATTCCAGAGATTCACAACAAAGTTCAGACGACGAAGCAGGCGATCGCAGCCCGGTTTCGGACGGTACTAATTGAACTTCAGATATTACTGGCGATATCCGGAATACAATCGCTAATCAAACATATTCTTATCCAAGTTAGATGGCTATGTTGGTCTTGACTCGGAGGTTCCTAATTCTTTTGCATTTGCCAACGCAAATGTCGTTCCCGCAAATGCCGTGTCGTCGAGCCGAAAACTTGCCGATGATTGCAAAACCTACGACATTGTTCCTTATGTATGCAAAATTTACCATCTTAAATTTCGCATGCGTCGACGAAACATTTATTTCGCACAAATTACAGGTCGCGGCCATTCATTCTTGTCATATACATTCCCTTGCTGCGACAAGAAATATGCGTTGGGTTTTTACTGGAGGCGATGATGGATTTATAAGAAAATACGATTTCTTTGCATCGATCAGCGGTAAGACGTTGCTGACGCAAAATCAAAAGCACACACAAGTTGAATCAGTTCAAAAGGTGCGGTGGGTGACGGCATCGTTGATGGGGATTTAATCTTTTTAAAATACAATAGACCTATCTATCACTTGATTCTTCAATCTGAAAATCACCATTAGGCTGGTGTAATATTGTCTTATTGGGAGAACGAAGAGATACCTTTACCTTCGGCGGCGCCTGCCAAGTCAGGTAATACATTTTTTCATAGTGATATACATATATAACTTAGAGATGCTAGCTTTGGGTTTTCTTCTGCTAGAAAAGGCTAACGGAACCGCAGAAGAAGGAACGACACAGGTCACGCAGGAGCCACCAATGCCTGAATTAAAATCCTCGCCGGTTTATAGTTTAGCCGTTCAATCCGAGGCCATATGGTTATTAAGTGGTCTAGAGGTATGATTCGATTATTTATATTTTGCAAGGCTGGGGGGAGGGGGAAGTATAGCTATTCTCTCCATCATGGTGTAATGTGATGTGATCGGAATGCGAATCTGTGAGTATAGATAATTCGCACATCTTCATTAGAGTCGTTGGATTATTTAATGAGAATCAGATTGCGAGGATTTCGAATTTTTGCCACGGAATTACTTCAATAATGAATAATATGACACGTTCGTTCAGAGTGGCGCGATCAACCTGTTTACCGTTAGACATGAAGAAGGAAAATGTCATCATGTAATGCGACAACATAAATCGCCCGTATCTGTCCTGAGAATTGCTCACGATGAAACGAGCTTCGTAAGCGGTTCTTGGGATAGAACGGTGCTGGTAAGTTTCTTCGTATTATTGCATTTTGCATTTCCATTTGCACCTGTATCCAGAAATCATATGATAAGATCATTGTTAAATCATGTTCGCCACATTATAGAGTTGGGACCTGAACGTCGGTCAAGTTGTGCGCGAGTTCACGGGTCACAATTCTCAAATCAGTTCCGTAGAATTCCGACCAATCACATCATCATCCGCAAAAACGTCAATGCAAAGTTCTCCGGAACCATTTGATCCATTATTTGATGAATTAGAGGAGACGTTAACCCACTCCAACGACGTACTGCTTACCACGAGTATTGATGGCAATTGCTTCGTGTGGGATAAAAGAGTGGCAAATTCAATTCCACGAAAGATGCCACCTCCCGAAAAGACGCCACCGTGGTGTTTATCGGTACGTGACTGCTCCTTTGGATCTCAGATCGACATGCTAATGTGAAATATTGTTCCTGACAAATGTTAGGCATGCTGGAGCGCTGATGGTAATAAAATTTATTGCGGGCGACGTAATAGCACCGGTGAGTAGTTATTGGGCGCCCGTTCCTATCTCAGGTTAATTATTAATCATAATGATTTGTCTTAAGTTGACGAATGGGACTTTGCATCGGGAAGGTGTGTCCGTTCTTTCAAGATGCCGAGTGGATCGGGCCCAGTTTCCTATGTCACCAGTATGCCAAATGGAAAACATATAATATGGTTTGTTTCCATTCTACCTAATTTCGAGTTAGTAAATGTTGAGACACGAACAAATATTTTATGCTGTTCACTTAGTGCTTCAACAGACAACATAAGGCTGTGGAGTGTAGCAGATGAATCCGAGACTTCAAGATCGGCGGTTCCGTTTCTCATCATACCGGGGCACCATGGAGGGTCGATATCACAAATATGTATCCTTTCTCCTCTCACATCACATTTGCATTATTTTCCTTTTCCTTTTTTTTTTTTTTACCATTATCCATGACCTGCAACAAATGCGACGCAGTGATCGATCCAAATTGTCGTTACATGATCACGACTTCGGGAAATAGAGGGTGGGAAGGAGCGAGTACCGAAGCAGCACTATTTTATGAGATTATCCCGATCACTTGAAATGAAAAATTTTCATTTTATTGTTTTTTTCTTTGCAATTAATTGGTTTCCATCAATTGTAATTCATGTGCGCGTATAGAAAATGGAATAAAGTATAATTTTTCTTTCTTATAATGAACATTTTGTCGATGCTTTCTTATTTGGGATAAAACAATGTTGATGACCCTTTTTTTTTCATAAAAAACTGTCCTTGAAATAAAAAAAAAGAAAAAAAAAATTGCAAGTCTTTGATTCGTAATATCCTTGGAATAGTCGATCAAAGGAATTCTTGACATTAGATGAGAATTAAAAAGAAAAAATTTTTTTTTTTTTCATAATTCGGGGAACAAAGAGTTTCAAATTAAATCTGAAGAGGACGAAATAATGATAACCCTAGCTCCCAAGTCATTAACCAATATATAAAACCCGCCGAACTCCTCCCCTATGAAAATTGGAATCAACCGCCCAACACAATTTAATTTCTAAAAAAAAAAAAAATGAAAATATTAAAAAAAATGCATGCCTTTTTTTTTTTTTGTTAAAATAATAATAATAATAGTAATAAAATAATAATAATTGGATAAAATACATGGGAAATGAAGATGATATTAAATTAAAAGTGCAAAATTGTCCACGGAATGATAATGAGATTGAATATGAACAAATGCATGAGTAATAAAAGAAAAAAGATGCCAGGATAATGGTGGTGATAGAGGATAGTATTGGATTTAAATAAAAAATTTTTAAGTTATTACTTTTGGCTTTCAGTTTTAAGAAAAAATTTTTATGCAATAGAAAAAAGTTCGAGTGTCAAAAATTATGATACAACACGGATTGTCCTGAACAGATGAGAACAATTGAACAAATAAGAGTCTTTGATCACAAAATTTTAATTAGACCACGTTTTTCGGATTCAAGGTAGAGGTGGAGTTAACTACCTATTCTCTTTTGTACAATTTTCTGCTCAACTCCTAAAAAAGAATTCGTAAAAACTAAATAAATTCTTAAACTATTGTTCTTAAGAATTATTTCTTAACCTTTGAGACTTTGTTGGTCGTCGCCTTTTTAACTTTATCCTTTCCGCTCGAGGCAGCAAGCTTGCTTCGGCTCGAGGTTTTCGAGGCCACCGATGATGTTTTTGGAGCGTCAACTTTTGATGATGGTCGTTTTTCCCCTCGTTTCGAGCTTGCCGCAGCTGCGTGTTCCATCTCTTTCACCATCGAGGGGGCGTTCGATCGATGATTCTCCTTTCTACGATTCTTTGGACATCCATTAGGATCCAGCAGATGTGCTTTCCATCCAGCCTCGGTTGCCGGTTTAACCATCGTCTTACAAAGCGGACAACGAACTATGTCATCCCTTATAACCAAGCAGGTTTGCTTCGCTGTGTGTTCTAGATAGTCGTCGGCATCAATGACTTCTCGACAACGAGGGCATTGTTTTACAAATCTGCTCTTGTCGCAATCGGTCAGCATATGATCGTCAAGTGTCGAGATTTCAAGGATCTGATGAGAAAAGTATGGAACCGAGAATTAACCAAAATATGCCTTGCAAGTTTCACCTTGTCGACACATGATAATTATAAACAACTTACGATGTTACACAGACGGCATTTGGTTAACACTGGACAATCATTCCAGTAATGCGTCACCAAGTTATCCTCGGTGAACCGGTCGTTGCGTTCATCACAAAAGATGCAGCACCTAAACCACAATAAATAAAGGTTTGGTTAAAGCCATGACCGTTTTCGGCTGTGTGTCATCCATCCGTTTTCGGTAAAAATGAAATTACCTGTCTCCCTTGGCCTCGTTACTGGCAGAAATTTCTTCGGGTTCATCACATGTGGTTGCTTCGATAATTTTATTTGTGAGAAAGAGGAAAAGGCATTTGCAAAAGATAATGTCAACAAACAACGACCTCGTTTGACCAAATGAATTCACTGTGCAAATTTGAGGACGTACCTGAAGCCACCGAGACCTTTCGAGCACTTCCTGACGACCCTGTTCTTGAAGTGGTGTCTTTCGACGGTGCATTGTTTTTAGAGGCTTTCGCGGTCGATGTTTTCTGACCGTCGGCCTTTGGCTTCTTTGTGGACTTGCTTGCCGGAGTGGATGACTTGCTTCCATGTGCGGTGGATGACTTTTTTGTTGGTTCGGGCTGAGGTTCAGGTTCTTTGGTCTTCTCAACTTCCTCCACCCCGACCTCATAATCCTCGGGCGCGAGTATGGGTTTGGTCGAATTTGCGATATACGTATCGTAATCATCTTTGATGATGTAATTGGTGTTGTTGAACATTGAACGCAATTCCATCAACTGTTGCTCAATTCGTGTCATTGTCCCACGTTTTGCTAATGGAGCCTTGAGCAAAGTTTCATCCACCTCAAAATCTTTCAGGGCCTCTTTTTCTTCCTCGGTGAGACCCTTTGGCGTGACCTTTGGTGATGGTGGTGGTGAGGGTACTTGTCCTGCAACCTTACCCGTTTCCTCCTCGTATTCGGTCACCAGATTCCAAATTGTTTCCAGGAGCATAGGTTTTATATCGGAAATGAATCCTTCAACTTTTTCCCTGCCGGCACGCTTCACAATCTCGACCACTAGTTTCACAGCGGACTCGCGGACATCTCCGTGGTTATTGTTAAGGTATGAGACGGACAATTGCATAACGGCCTAATTTCAATTGATCATGTGTGGTCGAGTGTGAGAACGAGTGCAACTTTGTATGATTGTGATGTCACCAAAAAATAAAAGGGAAAACTAACCTCAAGACTTATCCCACCTTCCTTATCGGTCTTGCTCTTTTTATTTAAAGACACACCAAATTCTTCGACCAACTTGGTGACGAGCTCGACCTTCGCCTTTGCCGTTTTAAGTGGTTGGTTTGGTGTCTTTGCAGGCTTGAGGGCCAGCGCGAGGATCGAATAATTTTGATTTCGATAGGTTTTGGCGAGGTAGCAGAAGAACTTGGTGGAACTTTGTTTTATGCGCGAATTCGAATCCGATATCTTGCTAAACAGCAGCTCATAATTTTGTTCTACCAGTTTCCAGGTATGGGCTATCGGTACTTGATGATAGTTGCAGAAATCTTCAAGGCATAATATAGATGGATGTGAGTGCATTTAGCTTACAATTGCATACGCACAGATGACACACACTATCGAAGCGAATAAACCAAGCTCACCCGTCAGCGTCTCCCAAAGTGTCAATGTTGCCAACGTAAGCTTCTCTCGATTGTCGTTCATTGCTTCTTGTATAATTTGGAAGGTGGCCTTAATCAGTGCAATCTAAGATGATGATTTTTCTCAGTGACAGATCTCAAGCAAAATGCACAACATTGCAGAAATCGCATTAACATAACATACCTTATCAACACCCTCAACATCTTTACCGTCTCCAAAATTGATGTCAACTCTCTTGGTGACCTCGACTAATGCAGAGTCTCTTAACAAGAACTTTTTTGACAGCATGCAAGCGACGACGTACTCTCCAAAGTACTGGATAGATAAGGAGAAAGCGACACGGGCCAGATCCGATAGATCTTCGGGACCATCATCGAACGGATCCGTGGGGACGTTGTTTGGGGTTTGACAAGAATTTGAATTAGACAAGGCTGGTAGAGGCCTTTCGTCCGCCAGAGGTGTCCATTGAGAGGGGGTCATTGGTGTCATCGGTTGATGTTTATTCGAGTCACCGTTCGATGGACCTTTCGAAGAGTTGACTCGGCTCACTGAAGCATTGCTGCTCGTTCGACTCTTTGTCGTTTCCTGGATATTACGATAAGAAACTTGTGTTATACATATGGTGCACGCATTAATTCAGTTCGATCTGTCACTAACCTCGATGACATCATCCGCCAATCCAATAATGTCTGCTAATTGTGGATCATAAACAGTCACCTCTCCTGAATCATCCAAGTCCAAACCCTCGTCAAGTAGGGCATTGCGGATATCATCCCTAAGTAACTCGATATCACGCTAAAGGTGTGATTTTAAGAAAGGTTTGCATATCAGCAAGAATTTTTTTTTTTTTTTTTTTTTTTCTTGGGAGGATGAACTCCCAAGGACCGTGTAGGATTCAAAATAACAGTTACCTTGTACTTTTCGGCATTATCAAAATCTTCCTCTTCGACCGCCTGTTTCTTCAGAGATTCAAGTTTCATTGCGTCCTCGGCAGCCTTTTCAATGTAGGAGAAATTTATTACACGAACAAATCATCTTCATAATTTAACTTTTCTGAGGATTACCTTTGTAACAAGTTCGATCGCATATTTTAAAACTTTGGCCAAGTGAAAATCTTCCACTGTTGGTATTAAAATTTATCATTATCATTATTATTTTGAGGAGAGTCGTGAGCGAAATCATTTTCACACACCGCACGTGGAAAATACCGTACACACCTTTTACCGCGTTGGCTTTTGCCCTGCCGAACGCAGCTAGTAATTGGGCTGTCTCCTCTTCGTTCAGCAAGAAGTCATTGGAGGTAATAGGGTTGGTGACTTTTTTCGGTGGTTGAGGTGGTTGGGACAAGGTGGCTGAACCATCATTTTCCGGAGGTGATGCGTCCGAGAGGATGGAATGAAGTGAGACAAAATTTCTTTGATCATTGGGGTTGCCATTTATCATCCAATGGTTATCTTGGATGACCGGTATGATACACATATCGGGCGACGCTACGCGTGACGGACCTCCATCGGCATGCTGTGACGTAGGAAGCGTGTTTTTTCAGTAAAGGCTGACACTACGTGGTTCAAAGGTCACACGGTCAAACAAACGTGCATACCTCTATCGGGATCTTTTGACTTTCGCCGGCTAGTAAGTAATCGACGGGTTCACCCATGACCGCTATTCCCACAATACCGACCTGAGTGAAGAGGATCGATGCGTTAGAATCCACGAGCTTCCGGAACACGAGCGAGCAATCAACCAGCATGACTTACCTGATTATATTGGTTGAGATGGTTCGTGTGACAGCGGCGAGCAACCAACCTTATGTATTCACCTTCGGTATCCAGTCGCACAGATTTCAATTCTCGGGCCTTGTAATTGGCTCTCTCGTTACTGTCGAGTGCAAAGTAGCTGTGTCAACAGAATATAGGTAAGAACGGGTTTGACATAAACGCAACGAAAAAGAATAAAAAACCAAAGATCATTTCGTCATTTCGCACCCTAATCTTCGAAAGAGAATGTAAGGTTCGTTGCTTGATTTTATGAGATCATAATCGTCCTCCTCAAATATTTCCTCTTCATCCGAACTTATTCCGTCATAATCTATGATTTTGGGTAATCTCTTTTTTTCACCACCAGTGTTCGTCTCCATTCCCACCATTTCCTTTCTTCGCTGTATAGACCCGACATAAATTTCTAATTTTGATGCGATTTTATAATGATGCGATAATATCTGTAACTTGCGAACGCGTGCAGCCCCGCACGTTACTTGTAATATAATTTCTTGGGGATATTTACAAAGTCTGTGGGGGAAATTTTGTCGGTAAATGTTGCGATATCAGATGAGATGCACATCAAGTGATCAGATGTTTGGACAATTTAGTAATGATGATGACATCCACATAGGGAAGGGAATGAAGAGAAGACAAAAAGATTAGTCAATTGATGATGTAATTACGTGTGTGCGTGTAATCATGGAATAACTTTTTAGGTTAGGCTTGTAATTTAACGCGAAGATCTCTTTACCAAATTAAGACAAGATCACCATGATTTTGACACAGCACGCCGAAAAAAAAAAAAAAAGAGAGGGAAACATTACTTTTCGGATTGCCATCCTTTGCCATGTTTAATTCCTCCATCATTTCCATTATTCTTATTATCTTTGGGCAAAAGTTGTTGAGGCGGATAACTCTCGTCCCAACTGGTTGCGTGTATGACCTCATATCCAAGTGTTTGCATCACGGGTGGTGGTAACGTGGTCAAATATTGGTCGTCGTATGAAGTGGCGTACGATATCAGAGGTGAGGAACTCTCACTGTTTCTAAATATGTTGATCAGTTCAATGGTACCTTCTTTAAAACTATCCGAATCCACACCCGCGACAGTAGAATCGATGAATTCGGAAGGAGACTCGTTGACAGATAAAGGAGGAATTAAACTCTCTTCTTTGGTATTATTACCAGAATCCTCACTCTCGGTCTCGGTAGGTTGCGCTTTAGTATTTTCGGAGGTTTCGATCTCGATGGATTTTTCTTCAACACTGTTGATGGTCTCACCGGTGATATTCTTGGAATCGGTCACGACAATTTCTTCTTTAGCAACCTCCGCTTCTTTAGGTGATTTTACTGCACCTTTCTTAACGTCAGCCTTATGTGATGATTTTCGAGATGCAACACTCTCGGTGACAATCCTTTCTTTGACGGCCTCGGTTTTCGGCGATTGTTTTCGAGAGGCTTGAGGCGTGGGTGGAACTTTGCTCTGTTTTTTGGGTTTTGCAGTAGAGGTTGTTTTAACCATGTTTTTTGATAAAGGAAAAAAAAAAAAAAAGGAATAGAAATGTTTAGAGAATTCGTTGCGAAATAAAAAAAAAAAAATATATATATATAATTTTTGGGGGTTTTTTTTTTTTTAAAAAAAAAAAAAAAAGAATCATATGGTATCCCGAGACAGCACGGTCGTGTGTAAGATTGAAAAAAAATTGAATTCTTTCCAGAACTATGAATTGTCTTTATATGAAAGAAGCCACAACGAGAATTTTGTCGACAGGGAAAGAAAAAAAATTTTTTTTCTTCTCATCCACAGACTAATCCAGTAAAACTGTGATGCACGCATTGTAATCCGACAATTCTAAGGATTTTTATCATTGTACATGTGTATGCCTAAGGTCCTGACCAACGCTCCAGAAAAAGTCAAGCTTTGCATATGCATGTCCAAAAGTCGTAAGGATATTATCATGCAAAATGTAGGCACGTGCATCGATCTAAATTATGTCAATCAAAGCAGAACGGGTGTTGAAAGCGGTGTTCCCTTCTTTTCGCAGTCCTCATGTTTTTGGCATTATTGGGCTGAAAAAGTTTTTTTTACAATAATGACCTTTTTTATGTTCAAAACCTCATGATAATGCGTCTCAAGCAGAGATAAATATGCACAGGAAAGCAAAAAAAAAAAAAAGAAAAAAAAGAAGAAAACCGAAACGGGAAACAATAAAACCAAAAAAGAGAGCCAATATTCAAAGGTGTGGTGGAACGAAAGGAAGATAAAAAAAAAAAAGCTCACCTTCGAGAGTTGAAATTAGGGTGGAGGCAGTTTCTTCTTGATACGGACTGTCTTCTTCTGTATTAGGGTTCCAATCAAACAAGGGAAATTTTACATATAATAAAGTGTGTAGGGTTACGTTTACACGGTTCTATATTAGTGATAATGATACTTTTGGAAAGAATGAAAAAAAAAAATATATATATATATATATATATATATTGAGTGAGAACTACTTTTTTTTTTTGGTTTCTTTTTTTTTCGTTTGGTTTTCTTTTTTTTTTTTTTTGGTTTTTTTCTTTTTAAACAGTAATAATAATAGCGATGATAGAATAAAATAATAGGGGGCGAGGTCAGGATGGAAAACTCTATATAAGAAAGGTTGGAGAGGGGTAATGAAAGAATGAAATGACAATCTCTAAGTGGAGGAGGAAGGAAGGAAGGAAAGGTGAAATTAATCGTCGTAAGCAAACACACCTCCTTTTTGCCAATCGGATTTCTTTTTTTGATGAGATTTCTTGTTGTTTGTTTGGAGTGATTTTATTGAATGAACCTATTTTTTTTTTTTTTTGGCGGGATTGTTGATACACAAAAAAAAGAAAAAAGGCGGGCGGTCAGACGAAACACGAAAAGATATAAAAAAACTTGATTAGTCTTCCGAACCGGAATAAATGATTGGTCTAATGACAGAAATTAACGGGCATTTACATTAGCCTGGTCGGCCAATCCCTGTTAGAATTGTTTATTGTAATTTTATTATTATATGCTCGATTATGCAGATCAAACAGCTGTGACAAAATAAATTATATCGTCCGTTCGTTACACGGGACTCCTTTTTTCGATCAAGCTGTCAGAAGAAGAGAAGGGAGGGAAAAAAAAAAAAGCCTGAAGAAAAAGGGGAGTTTGAACGCATTTATATACAATCACTTGATGGGCGCAGTCGTATTTATGTGCACGCATACCAAGATTACACACCAGATTGACTTCTTAAAAATTACGGTCACCTTGTTTCACAGTTGAGCTGTAATAAATAGTGTCGAATATAAATTATATAAATTGTGACATTAATAGAACCATCGACCCAATTCTACCGAATCAAAGGGACCGATGAAGGCATTTATGTACTTTTGCGGGTAGAATAATATTCATGACTCTTTTTCTAACAATAAAATTGGCATCCAAAAACGGGAACATAAATTAAAGATCACCCCGAAATAGGTGAGCGGCAGAGTATATAGGTAATAGATAATAATAATAATAGTAATAATAATAATGATAATAATAAAATTAAATTAGTGGTGTCATCAGGCCATGAACCTTTTTTTTTTTTTTTTTTAAAAAAAATGACCCATTTTTCAACCTCTCGCAACAACGCATTACTAATGAATAATCCGATTCCTAAAAAAAAAAAAAGCGCACATTCACCATCCATTCATTAGAGATTACAAAGTCGGTATGGATGAGCGTTGCACACGTTGACCTCTCTAATTAATTAATTGATCAAATTGCAAGCTTGTAATCGGGAAGATCCCTCATAGCGCATGTCGTGACGAATTGATGATTACCCTCAAATATTTTTGGACCAGCGATATTCAAAATAAATATGTATTGTATGTATATACAGTGCACGCATGTTGCGATGTTCCTCACCAATTTAGCTTTATAGTGATTTAATATAAAAGTTGGCGCATATTCTACTTTTCCAAATATGCGATATGCGATTTGTAAACAATCCGTCATTCCTGTCATTTCATAAAAAAAGTGTGGAGTGTTTCATGAATGATGTGTGTGTGTCAAGACAAAAAGGTATTCATTATGTACCGTACATACTGTCTTGTGTACGGCACATAATAAAACCAACCAATATAATCTTGTGTTGTGTGGAGGTTTCATCTCAATAAAACAATAATAGTGGTAATCGAAATGTGGTCACAGCACTCGGCCAAAAAAAATAAATAGAGTTATATCTCTTCAATATAAGGCTTTATTGAGTTCTCCCGAGCATAAATTAATAAACACATAAGCAGCTTGGTGAGCATGAGATAAAGTAAAGTATTCTTCTCGAGGTCGATGCATTCCCGTGATCTCTGCTGTGTGTCAATAAAGCGTCCCGTGACGTTGTTCTGGCTGGGTTTCGAGGCCTCGCGCTGCTTGAATAATTGATGGTGAGGCGTTTTCTCTCCCTTCCCAGCGGTCTCTTCATTATTTATTTGTTGATTCGTCGCAAGATTGTGCGAGAAGTAAACAAAGGCGGAGGCTACGACGAACAAAGAATTGACTGAATCGTTGTAAACATTTTGTCATCTGATGCACGGGCATGGTACGGTATAATGCATTTAGACGTTGTCCATCGCCAAAAGAAATGCGCAAATGGAATGGCCGAGAAGTGATCCTGACGCGGGTGTTGTAGGCAGCACTCGCAATCAGGTTTCGTGTCGATTCAATTCACCATGCGCAAAACAAAGTGCCCTCATCATTCGAGCGTCAGAGGTCGCATTTTGGAACACGTTTCGATCGGGTGCAATTGGGCATCAACAGAGTTGTCCTGTTACGTGTACAAGACGAGAGAGTCGCTTCACGTTTCAAACGTGCCTACTGGAAACCTTGTGTTCCAAGAGAGAGAGATAATCTGAACGGCATGTCAAAAGAGCACCTCATCAAGATGGCTGATGCGTATATGCATGGCGGAAACAGATGAGTGTGTTTATTGCATGTTTTCGCATCGTGTCTCGAGATCTATGGCGGAAACTCGGTGTGCGTGCATGTACGTTGCCAGTTTGTTTCCGTCGTTGAATTCACCTGGACATTGAAGAAAACATTAAATTGGCATTTGGCAATTAACCCAAAGCAAGTATCATCAAGAATTTGTTCAAGGAGAAAATGAACCGTGTCTTCAATTGATCAGGAGCTTGTTTACCTCCAAACAATTCAAAGATTTGTGTTGAATAAGATCTACGGGAGGCGAGAGTTGCAGGAAAGAATGTGCATAAAAAAGAAAAAAGAAAGATGATCATCTTTATTTGGTGATTAATTGAGGAATAACATATTTCTAAACCAATTTATTGGGGTCATGGTTTTTTTTTTTAACGAACAAATAAGAGAAACTTGCAGTGGCGAAAGGTTTCCAAGAATAAGCACCACCATATACAGTATTTGAGAAGGAAAAACGCGAGTATGACATAATTCAATACGAAAAAAAAATCTGGAATCGGACTGGTTTTTTTGTTTTGAGTAGATTTCATGTCGCACGCAGTGAATTCCACTCGAGCCGACTACCAAGAGATATATAATTGGTTCTTTTCCTCCTCGGTTTCTTAATTTTCACTCATTGAGTTGCCAAAAAAATTAGAGTTCTCTCCTAACCAGGCACACGATGACGAACTCGGATTCAAGGAAATTCGAAAAAACAATTAGATGTTTGCTTGCTGACCATGGACAACTCGAATGAGTGAAGAGGGGTTATCCCCCGTTGGGGGGGGGGAGGAATTAGGGACCCCCGGTCGATCGTATAATTGAGATGAATATTCCTAAATCCCAAATATTAGAGATATGTGCGCGATGTCACCACATTAGCATAAGGTTTGTATGTTTGGTACCGCATTCATCACAAGTTTTCTAAATTCGGCACGGACTTATTTTTATCCAATGGTGCTCTTGCATGCGGTTGAACGAGGGTGGCGCAATATTTTGTGTGCGATAAAAATAACACACACACTCGATACTTCATAACCACGGAATTAGTATTCCCTCGCCTGTATTTATAAGCACGATGACCTTCACCCGATTGAAAAGAGCGAGACAATAGTAAAAGGAATGCGGTGAAGTAATTTTTCGAATGAAAATCGGACCCTGCCGGATCTTGTCTTTTTCGGCCAACTCATAGCGAACTGCCATAACCAAATTATGCCATACACCATACTAATTAGCATCAAAATGTGCCCGCCGCAGTAAAGCAAAACTAGGTTTAGGATAACATGGAATATTCGTGCGCAACAGAATAATAGCACATGTAACGACAATACTGTATAAATTAATGCGTGTAACTTCTACGTTCTGCACGGCCATGATAATTCAACGTCACAGATGTTGGCCAAAAATACGGAGAAATTTCCGTTGTGCTTATACCTCTAGCCACGTTTTTTTTTGAGATAATAGCTCAAAAAAATGTCAATTGTCCATGAGTACACAAACAATTAAATAAAATTGTGGAACTCGAGCGTGCAAGTGCCTTCCACAATATTCAAATTCTCAGGTATTATGAAGTTTCTTTTTTCCCCCTCCTGAAATGATGTCGATTGAAAGAAAGGTCCGAGACGCATTCTCGTGTTTCCATTTGAGGCAAATAATAAATAACGAAGTCGTCGCTTCCCTTTATCATTCGTGTCACCACGCAACGAATGATTTTTTTTTTTTTTTTAATATTATTCCTTTGCTATTATGAAAATTTGAAAATTGTTCCTTGCAGAATCGAAGACAGACGGGAGATCACCCCCCCCCATCCTGATGCAATGACGTTATGTAATTAATATTGATGATTATGAACTTCACTCCCGAAAATCGAAATAATGCTCTATTGGTAATATTAGTAATCGACTGACATTGTGATGGTAAATCCGGAGTGAAATGAAATTGCATGAAAGAAAAAAAACCTGATTTAGGTAGATCCAATTGTTGTTCTGCCTATTGTTCTTCCACCTGAGTCATTCAAGTTGTTAAGTGTGTAAACACATGGAAATATTTCCTCTTTTGTACTGGGGCAGATCGTATCAGGTTTTTGATAATTCACAAAAAATTATTGGGTTAATCTGTTATGAAATTTTGATACACGGGGCAAGTAAACTTCTGTCCACCTTCCGCAACATATGTTGATTTAAAGAAAAAGGCGGATGTGATCAAGTGAGGTGACGAGATTTCGAGCGACTTAATCAATACCGGTTAGGATGACGCGATATACATTAATAAATAAAAAAAAACTTGAAACGTAATGTCAATGAATGTTACTCATTAAAACTTGGTACGGGTTTCCTTTATAAAACCAAGATACAATGATTATTAATAGTAGATGCTACGTGTTCTATGTATCGGTACGCCTAACTCCTCGAGGTGTTCCTTAGAGAAATCCCATATGAAAAAATCTAATATGATCGCGTTCAATATCGGTATCGACCCGTGCGCATCGTCACGTTCGATCTTCCCTTTTATGACCCTCCTGAGGAGCTCCACCGCCCAGATTGAACATCCGCGAATTTCATTCTCCAATCTTGAACCACTCGGCAACAGAGTGAATGATTCCAATGTCCTTAAAAGGCTATCGGAGTAAGAGATGGCACCCAGATAGTGAAGGGCCTGTGGAACCCTGTAATCCGCAAACATGGTGATCTCATCGATGTCATCAAACTTTCCAAATCCCTCGCCTTCGAAACACGCCCAAATGTCTGCGATCAATATCTGCGCGCGTTTGTAAAATACGACCCTTTCGCCGTTGAACGTCGACTCGTCCCTAAATGAACTAAAGCTTTCGACGATGATATTTAATAACTTCACGCATGAATTTTCGGACTCCTTGATGCAATTGACAAAACTCCCTCCAAATTTCTCCATTAAAACTTTTCCGGCCTCCCTGATGCACTTTATTCGCTCCTCCAGCAGCGGCATCTTTTCCTGCGTGGAAGAGCGAAACACGTGGAGAAGATCGAGATCCGATAATTTCGATTCGGACGAATAGAAAGATGGTGTGGTAATCGATATACCCTCCTCGAGCGCTCGATTGATTGCCGCGCACAAGGACCAGTAGCCGGTGTACTGCTTACCGTCGAAGGAAACAGAAAATCTTGAATTCTGCGCTCCCTCCTCTCCATCGAACTCCGACCAAAATGAAAAATTTAACAGATCCACCAGAAAGATCCAGTCAATTGCCCTTTCATCGGCAACCTTGGGGTGAAGCGTGTGTTGTTTCCAATTTGAGCTGGAGTATTTCTTGCTTTTCATGATCTCGTATATGGAGCTTGCGGCCCTTTCGATACCCTCCGGAGGTATGGAAACATCTTGACTATTCTTACTAATGAAGTATCCACTCTTCAACACGGGATTCAACGACTTTTGCAAATCCTTATCTTCAACTTGAAATGACATGGCGGGTGAATTCATGCACACATACCGTGTGTAGATACCGTATTTATATGATAACATCACGAGCGCAGATGTCTGCTTCTGATTGGCTATGCCTGCATTATTTAAAAAGAATGCAAGATGCAAATGTAAATTTCAACAGTATACTGTATATAAAAATCCTAATATTTTATGCTAGTTTTAGATTATCTATACTGTATATAATTAATAAAGGTAAATTCGTTACTATGACCTAATTGCCAGGTTAAAAAAAAGATATATTCGTATTATAACAAACTTGTCATTAATATAGTCATGAATATACTATCTAAGAAACATATCATTTATACTAAAAAGAATATCTTAAGGAACATATTTTTTACAAGTTTTTAATTCTCATTAGACTCGAATTTTTATTTACTTATATAATCTTATAACTCTAGACAAACTTTAAATTTTTATGTAACTTTAATATCTTGCTATAATATCTTTTGGTTTTTTATTATTTAAAATAACTTTAATTCTCAATTATTATTATTACTGTATTTTTTTTTAACCTAAGTCGGATTAATATAACGCATTTTATTATAAATATATTAAATATTTACAAATTATATAATTTTTACATATTAACTTATCTATTGTTAGAATAAATATTTCTTTAGATGCAACTTTGAAAATGATATTTTGTTTCTTTATTGATTTTGATTAATCTTTAATTGATAAAATCATTATCTACAAATCATTACTATAAATCATTTGAAAAATTCTATTTGCAACTTAAAAATCAAATCATTTAACTTTATAACAAACTTATTCTTTAATGATTTCTATAATATCTTTTTTATTTTTTTTCAAGTTTTCTTGATTTGAGTTTTCTTATAAAAGTATTACTATTTTTTTATAATTTTATATTATTTACGGTTGTTTCCAAAAGTTTGAGTCCACTTACTATGTTTTTATTATAAATTTCAACTTTGACAATTTTTAAATTCTTAATTATA